ATATTTTATATTTTATATTTCATATTTTATATTTTATATTTCATATTTTATATTTTATATTTTATATTTATATTTATATTTATATTTTATATTTTATATTTTATATTTTACATTTTATATTTTATATATACATATTTTTTAAATATTTTCTTCTAAAAACTCTACTTCATTTATTTTACAATTTTAATATCAATGAATTTTAAGCTCCCACTGTGCTATGAATTTCTGAGCGAGCATTAAGCAGTCATGCTCATATGATTACAATCCTTTCACCGGTTTTTATCTCTCCTCATCTCATTTACATGCAGTTTATGCACGCGCGCTGCACAAATGCACTTAATTACGCTGCGAATTGCGTATACGCCGTGTGGCTAATGCAGGCAAGCGGAAATCTTCGCCGTACTGGCAGTAATATGATGTGCGCGTGCAAGATTGCACCATCAACAGGTTGGGTGCGTACCGTCACGTCTCCCACCTGAGCATTCACAGCCAAACCAGGCAGCTCAAGCGCTCGCTTATGACTACGAGCTGGCATCCTGTCGACCTAATGTTGCGTGCCATTTGGCCAAAGTGTGCTGCATTCCATTAAAAAATAAAACAGAGCATTTTAAGCGCCCAGCATATGAGCTGTATAAGGTATCAGGCAATGCCAGGAATTCATTTCCTCTAACCCAGGGCCATTTGTGGTTTTGCAATCGCCCATTCAGTTTTAATGAGCACAGCCCCAGGGGACTGAAGCGGCACTCGAGTGCAGCTGATAGCAACAGTTATGAATCACTTGTGATAGACAATGGACTAGGAACAGCAATAGCTCTGCCCGGCTAAGCAGCTCATTCGACTCACAATCAATGCTGAAAATAAGCTGGGTCCAGAGCATTGTCCAGAGCATTGTCTATGCCTAGAGTTGTAGCTGACATTAAGCTCAAGGTAATTGACATTAAATGACTTTAAATATTCAACACTTTTAATACTCACATTATGCAGAGCCACGAAATCCTTCAGATCACGCCATTTGCTCTCGTACAGGGAACGGCGTGAATACATGCGCTGTATGATGGCCGTCACATTACCAAAGACCACGGCGTGCATCAAAGCTGCGTTGCAAATGAACGTATAAATGGAGTAAATTGATGAATACAAAAGGAGAGAGTGGGAGAGAGAGAGAGAGAGAGAGAGAGAGAGAGAGAGAGAGAGAGAGAGAGAGAGAGTCGCCCAGGCAGACTCTTAAGAGCTGGCTGATTACCTACCGCCAATCAACATCATTATAATGGTGAAAACCTTCTCGGCCGTTGTATTCGCCGACACATTGCCAAAGCCCACAGAGGTGAGGCTGGTGAATGTGAAATACAAGGCTGTCGAGTAAGTTTCGGCCGTTGTCAGTATGGCAACGGAGGCATTTTTACGCTCGGCCAGCAGCTGCAGCCAACCTGTGAACAAGACTTTGATATTTTTAATAGGAGTAGAACGAAAAGAAATGGAAGTCGTACAAAAAAAAATATATGTAATACATTTTATGTGTAAGCCATATATAATAAAGTTTGTGTAGTCAAATGGGGCCTAAGCAAATCCCAGCTGCACACACACACACACGCACACACACATTGTAATTTAGCCGCTTATTAAGCAGACAATGACTCGACCCAAAAATATCAAGATAGTAGCAAAGTTTGGTCTGACTTTTGCCAGCTGTCCATCAAACAGTATCAAACGCTAAGCTGTCGGAGCGCACGCAACACGGAATCCGTGTCAAATCCGGCCAAATGCTTGGGCCCAACGGAAACGTCAAACGGCAAACAGGCAAACGGCGCATGCCAAATGCCAAAATGGCAAATGGCAGTTAGTGAACTTTCTGCCAGCTTCTCTCTTTGTGTGTGTGTGTGTTAGCCAAGTCTAGGAGCAGCAGCAGCAGCAGCAACAGGGCCGTGCGAGCATTTAATGTATATCATTTTCACAGTTTATTGATGTGAAAAGTAACTGGCATTTTGTTGTTGCTGTTTGCTCAAATTATTTAAAAATAAACAGACACACACACACTCACACACACCCATGCATAATGCATAAATAAATACTAATTTGCTTGCATGTTAAAATGTGTTCACTCTGCTTTCTATATACCCTACACAGTTTCGTCTTTTATAAAGGAATATATTCAATAAACTTTTTACTTTAAAACTCCGAATCTCTAAAAGCAGCATACCCTATTTCAGCACATTTACAGGGCATAATGCCTAATAAATCAAAATACAAGTTTTGTCAGTCGAAAGACTTAGTTCTCGTTAATGTCTGCAGGAATTAGGAAAACTTTGCTTTTCGCCACGCACTGCCAAAAAGGTATTTGCTACAAGTTTTAACAAGGTGTGAGCACTGCGTGTGGGAGGGAATCAGTTGACCAAGGTAGATGGAGTAACTGAGAATAAGTTGTATGCTTAATGGCTATCATTAGAAAGTTTCATTTAGCTTTGCTTTGGGCTGATTAATTAAGTTGAAATATTTTGTAAATGTTAATAAAAAATCAATAATATTTTCATCAAATCTATTATTATTATATAATTTTAATTGAAAAACTATTTTGAAATGAAAAAAAAAACTTTTCATATATTTACGAATATTCATTTCAAAGTATATAAACAAAAAATAAATAAAATATATAGCTAATATATATAATATAAATAAAAAAAACGAATGAAGCATTTGATGAGAGTTTTTTTTGAGCTCTTTTTATATATACAGCAAATAAATGCCAAAAAAAATGTATATAAACAAAATCTCATTTCAACTAAAATTGTTTATAAATTTACTTTTAACACACATTAATCTTATACAATTTTTTCATTGATTTTTAATTAAAATTTATACATATGTACTTTTTATTATACACATAAAAATATTTTTATAAAATTGAAAAATTAAAAGTTCAATTAAACTCGGATAATAAATTATATAGAAAATTGTTAAATACATGCTCCGAAATGCCGTAGCAGAAAAAACACTCCCCTGAGACTTGCCAAACAACACTCAGCTGTTCGCACACCATGAGCGAGCATTCGGCTGTCGATTACGCCCGACTGCAATATACGAAGTGGCTCATATTCGCCCTGCCTACCTACGAGCTACCCAATGTCAGCTTAGAGTATTCGCAAGGTAGCAATAAAAACTTTTTAGGGCTCACACACGCACACTTACACACACACACGCACACACACACCTGTCTACCTACTTAAATTACAATAAACGCTGATTTGATATTGTTTGACTGTAGCTTTATGCAAAACTTTGCGATTTGTATGTGTTAATAAGCAAACATTTTGGCTGCTGGCTGCTCCAAATGGCTTTACACATGAGCTGATTTTAAACTTTCTAACGTGGCTTTCACCAACGGAATACATTAGTCAAAATAGATATATGTATGTGTGTGTCAGTGTGTGTGTGTGTGTGTATGTGTGGGGAAAGGCAACAATTTCATTTGGCGTTTGACGAGCCAGGCAAACACAATCAACGCTGGCGGCAAACTAACCAAATTACTGTCCAACTAACACACACACACACACAAGCAGGCAGCATGCATGTGTATGTGTGTGTGTGTGTGTGAATGGGTGCTGCTGGGCTGCCAACTGACCTTGGCTTTTGGTCCACTACGACTGGCCGGCTCATCTAGAGACCGCCACACGCCCCCCTCGCCCGTCTACTCACCAATGTTACTCTCGGGAAACCATTCGTACTCCTTCACAGCGATGACATACCAGATGCAGGCGAGCCAGTGTGCTGCCAGTGTAAATGAAAACATCAACAGCGTCAGAATCATGGCCGTATGCTGTGAATATCGATCAATTTTTTGCAATAGCCTGGCCAGGCGCAACAGACGCGTCAATTTGACAAGATGAATGTGTGATTCCTATCCGTTAGATGCGGCAAGCGACAGAGAGAGAGAGAGAGAGAGAGAGAGATGGAGATAGAAAGAGAATAAAAAATTGTTTGTAATGTAACGAGATAAATTGTTAGACGAGCTGCATTGTTGTTGCTGCCGTGAACTTAGTTAGGTTTTACGTTTTATGCACACGTCGATTGTTTGCTCAACGACAGTAAAACTATCGATAGAACTACATGTATGTAACTGTAAAATAATATTTATGATTTTTGTTTGCTCGAATTTATGGAAATTTGTTGTCCCTGTTTTATTTCTGGCTGCACTCATAGAAAATGGAATGCAGAGTCTGAAATTGTGATTAAAATGTCAGGAACTTTTACAGGTAGAATGAGGCGAACTATATAAATTTATATATATGTATCATATATAGTACACCAATATATTCCCCATTCAAACCCTTACATATTATCCCCTCCAAGAAAAATAAACTATGCAACAAAAACTCAAAACTCAAACAGCAGTAAAAAACTGAGTTTTCAACTTGAATTTGTAAGGCGAAAAAAATTGTTTTCAACTCAAGCCAAACGAATAAATTAGTTTTTCATCGCAGCTAATGGCATTTGGTGCTAATATCATTTTTGGACCCCTCGCCAATTAGGTTGCCTACTTTCGCTGGGGCGTAAATTTCATTAGAGTGCAGGCACACACTCACACACACACACATACATGGCACACCCACGCAGAAAGTACCCTAAAATTTTGACACATGCCCATTTATTAGCTAGTATTTCCGGCCAGCTTCCGTCCCAAGCTTCAAGCACAAGCGCAGCTAAGTAAAAAGGGATAGTTGAATAAAATCACATATAAAAAAATCAAATAAAAATAAGAAAAAAAAAAACGGAAAATCAAAGGGGCTGTCATCAACAAGCCGAAATGTAAACATAAACAAGCTTATCAAGCCAGCCAGCCCCCACAAAGGACAAAGGCTACAAAGTTGTCCAAATAGAAGGTTTCTGCTGTCATTTCAGCTTTAAGCTGCAGATTCATACACCTAAATTATTGTGAATAAAAAAAAAATAGTTAAGTAGAAAACGTAGAGAAAGAGGAAGAGAAATGTAACTGTGGCTGACACAGTCTAAATTCTAAAATGGGCTCAGTTTGTGCCTTCGTGAAGGCAACAACAACAAAAATATATAAAAATTGCGATCTAAGCATTTAGCGTGCAACAGCCTTGCAGCAAATTCAATAGAGAGAGAGAGAGAGAGAGAGGGAGATAGAAGGAGAGTGAGAGAGGGAGGGAGGGAGGCAAAACTAAGGCAAGGCTGTCAAGCAGGCTATGTGAATGGCATTTAAAGCGTACAATAACAATTATGAGAAATTTACGAGAGCTTGACTTGAGTATACCCTGGAGAGAGAATGGGGTATCTGTGTATCTCTCTCTGCCTCTTTATCTATCTGTAACTTATACTTTTTACACTCTAGTTTATAGCTTACACTTAGTAAGCTATTGGCAAGTAAATGTTGCTTTGCTCAAATTAAGCTAATTAATTCATTGAAAATACATACATTACATATTTTTATTAAATAAAAAAAAATGTATAGAATGGAATATTTTTGGAATATATAATTTAATATAAAATTTGTTTATTTCTGAATGTCATATTTTTATATAATTTATTGATTTATATATAATTTATAATTTTTTATATTTATTTAATTTTATTTCAACATATTTTTAGTAGCTAATTTTGTCGTATTTTATATATTATTTATACATATACATATATATATATATATATATATATATA